AATTTCTGCAGTGTATCTTGTAGATAATACACTCTTCTGCTACTGACTGTTGGTAGTGGAGGAAGTGCATGTTTGTAACTGTGATGCCAATCAAGTGGTCTGCTTTGTCCTGGATGTTGTCAAATGTCTTGTGTTGTTGGAGCTGCATTCATCCAGGTAAGTGGTGAGTATTCCATCACTCTCCTGACTTCTGCATTTGGTTAATGCTTCATGAGTTGTGCAGTACAAATCTTCAATGCTTTAGAATTCTAAACCTTTCTACATGAAATGGTGAAAGTTAATGGTGAATTTTAATGACATATGAAACTCAAACTCATTAAAAGGCAGAATTATTTTTAAAATTCATATATGAGATGTCAGCAAGGTCAGCATTTATTGAGGAAGTAGTGGTGAGCTGTTCTCTTCAATTACTGCAGTCCACTTAGGATACAAACAACAATAGTGCTGTTAGATAGAGATCTCAATATTCTGTCCCAGCAAAGGGACAGCAACATATTTCCAAATCTCAAACCTGCATGTGACTTGGAGGGAACTTTAAGAGGGTGCTATACCAATGCATGTGTAGTCTTTGTTCTTCTGGATGTCAGAGGTAATGTTGACACAGCTTTGTGTCTTCAATATGGTGTACAAGGCTGCCACTGTAGTTGGCGGTGGAGTGATTGAATATTTAAGGTGATGTTTGGGTGCTGAACAAGGGGACTGCTTTATCCAGGCTGATGGTTAACTGAACATTTCAAATGAAGATCAATAGATTTTTGTTCAGCCAGGGTATTAATGAATACTGAATCAAGGCAGGTATTGATCAGTGATGATCTGTTTGAGATGTGATGATCTGTTTGAGATATGGAACAGGTTTGAGGGTCTGAATAGCCTTGTCCTGTTCCCAGAAACACCAGTCTCACAAGATCTAAGTTCACATGCAAGAATAGTTGCCTGGTACCTGGAAGGCTTGTCAACAGCAGAGGAGGAGTGGAGTGAATGAGGGAAGATTTATTAAACAAGTATTTTGAAGATTGTGATCTCTTTTATTGAAAGGAATATACACAGGTATGTGAAATCCCAGCATAGGGAGTAGCATTACTGCCTCTGGGCTAGATGCTCCGGTTTCAAGTCCCACTGCAGGACTTCATGGTCAAAGAGGATGCATTCATATGTGTCCATGATGCCTTGAGAATGAACCTATATATGCTTCCAGCACACACCAACTGGAAATGATAGGAACTGGGGACAGACGTTGTCAGCCATGTAATGAAAATAAAGTTAGAGCCTCTACCATCATTATCCATATAGCTCAAGACTACAACATACATGTAGAAAGTGCATGTTGTCATAGTCACCTGGACTCTGAGTACTACATAGATATACAGATAAGCTGCATTAAATCACAGCCAACCCATTTTCACTCTCTAATAATCCTCATTTACAGCTTTTCATTCTCCCTGGGTCACCGTTATTCATTTTGTTATCTGCCCAGTTGGTGTTCTCTCCCTCTGGTCTCGATCTCCACCTATCATTTACTAGCTCCCACCCACCTCACCCCCTGGCTTCAGCATAAATATCACATTTTCCTAGCTACAATCAGTTCTGAAGAATGGTCATTGGATCTGAAACGTTAACGCTGCTGCTTTCTCCCCGCAGATGCTGCCAGACCTGCTGAGTTTTTCTAGCAACTTCTGTTTTTGTTAAAGGTATGCAATTGTTTAAGTCTGTCTGGCCATTGAATTGATGGTCCCTGTTTGATTAATTTAATTTGTTTGTTCCCACCTCAGTCTGGTGCAACATTTTCTGCTGCCCAGACCAATCAGTCAACAGAGACTTCAAAGGGAGAGAGAAAAGAAGGGGTCCTGAGCTCAAAAAGTAAAATGAGGGATATGCTGAGTTTTTGTACAGGTTTTGTGTGTCTCTGATTCTGATAGAGAGGAGCAGAATCAATGGTCTTTTCAAAGTTGTTAGAACTCTAATTAAAACACTGGTTTCTCAGATATGATAAGTGCCTTTATACTTTAAAATTACCATGTCAAACTGATATGACTGTTTAATAATTTTACGAGGATCATTGTTTGAATTCTGCTTATGTACAAAGTCTCCTTAGAAACCAAATATCCATGTCTTTAGAGGAATGGAGAGAGGAAATTAATTGTTTCTGTTTTTTTTTGTGTTATATATAGATATTGCAAGAGCTGTCTAGAATACAGAACCACCTACTTTAGAAAGAGATGAATCTGGGCAAACACTATATGCTTCCTTAAGAAATTTGTTGAAGATTGTATATTGCCTGTGTGCTTTGAAGAGACACAGCAGACTGCAATGATCCACGATATGTGCGTAATTGGGGATATGTTAGTGAGTTTGGCCATGCTCCTCATAACCTTGATATTAGTTTAGCCTGAAGTTCTGAAGCAGTATAATGATAGTTCTATGTTTACAGGGATCCTTCTTATTTACCCAGGGGGAGAGTGGGGAGTGGCTGCAGGACCACTGCTGTTTTACAATTCTTGGCCATTTTAATCACGTCTTATTCTAAAATAGGCACTTAATTATGATTACTTTTTTTTACAGCTGGCTTCAGCTGAGACTTAATTGAGGGAGGCAGTGTCATGGTGGTAGCAGTACTTGAAATACTCTCCAGAACTCCAGGTAATGTTCCGGGGCATGGGTTCGAGCCCCACCATGACAGGTGATGAAATTTGAATTTAAAAAGTACCTGGTATTAAAAGCTAGCCTCATGATGATGACTATGTAATCATTGTTGTAAAAACCCATCCGGTCCACTGATGTCTAACTTGATCTGGTCTCCACATGACTTCAGTTGAATAGCAAAGTTGTTGAATCTTAATGCCCTTTGCAATGAATTGAAGTAAGTCACCCACCAATGACAATGGCCAGCACAGCTGTATTGATCCCATAAAGTCCTCCTTATCAACGTCTGGGGGCTAGTGCCAAAATTGGGAGAGCTCTCCCACAGATTAGTTAAGCAACAGCCTAACATTGTCATATTCATTGAAATCATACCTTGGAGCTAATGTCCCAAAGCCATCATTGCCCTTCATATGTCCTACCCCATGGCAGAAAATACCTGCCAGAGGTGGTGATCACAGTATATAGTTAGAAAGGAATTTTGCTAGGAGTTCTGAAAATTGAATCCAGATCCCATGAAGTTTCAAGGAATCAGGTCAAACACAGGAAAGGAAATCTCCTACTGATTACCAGCTACCACCTGCCTTTGGCTGATGAATCAGTTTTCCACCATTATGAACAATTTGAACTTGGAGGATGCATGACGTGGGGGGACAACAAGAATACAGCTTGGTAGCATGATACTGACTGAGCTGGCCAAGTCTTAACATGGGCAGCTGCTAGACTGGGTCCATAGTGAGTGATGAGGGAACCAACAAGAGGGAAATATCGATTTGACTTTGTCCTCACCAGCTTACCTGTCACAGATGCATCTGTCTGTGATGCTACCAGTAGGTATGACTACCATACTGTCCTTCTGGAGTCCACTGAGTCCTTGATTCTCATTGAAGATTCCCTTCACTGTATTGTGTGGCACTATCATCTTGCTAAATGGAAAAGACTTTGAGTAGATCTAGCAAGTCGAACCTGGACACCCACGAGGTGTAGTGGGCCATCAACAGCAGAATTGCATTCAATCATAATCTGTAATCTCATCACCTGCCATATGCCCCATTCAACCATTACCATCAGGCCAGGAGATCAACCCTAATTCATTGAAGAGTGCATGCCAGGAGCAGCAACAGGTATATCTGAAGATAAAATGTCAACATGATAAAACTACAACACAGCACTACGTACATGCTGAACACCAGAGACAGAATTAAGTAATAGGGGTAAGCAATCCAACATCAACAGGTCAGATTTAAACTCTGCAGTCCTACTGCAGACAGTCATGACTGGTTCTGGACAATTAAACAACTAATAGGATGTAGGAGGTCTGCAAACATCCCCATCCTTAATAATGAAGGAGCCTAGCACACCAATGCAAAAGACAAGGCTGAAGTATTTGCATTCATCTTCAGCCCGAATGGGCTGATCCATCTCAGATGGATGATCCATCTCAGCCTCCTCTTGATGTCTTCGGCATCACAGGTACCAGTCTTCAATTAATTTATTTCCCTCCATGTGGTATCAAAAAACAGACACCGATAACTGCAAAAGTTATGGACCCTGGCAACATTTCAGCAGCTAGTACTGAAAACTTATGCTCTAATACTAGTTGCACCCCTAGCCAAATGGTTCCAATACAGTTACAACATCTAGAACTATGACTCTTTGTTTAAAAATAAGGTGTCGCCCATTGAAAACAGATGTGGAAACATTTTCTCTCTCAGAGGATTAAGAGTCTTTTGAACTCCCTTGTCAAAAGGCAGTTGAGGAAACCATCACTATTTTTCTTTTACAAAAGCAGAAAGTGCTGGAGAAACTCAGCAAGTTTGGCAGCATCTGTGGAAAGAAAGCAGAGTTAACTTTTTGAGACCAATGACTCTTCTTCAAACTATTTTTCATTTTTCTTCTGCTTTCTTGAATTGGAACTTTGGGTTGAAATTAAAGATTGAACTTTGAGCAGCAGCTCAAAGAAGGGAACAAGCTCAGATATTTTCTGTTGGCAACTGGCCTCATAGATAATGCAATGTCATCACTGATCTAAGGACACTGTAGACAAACTGGCACTGAGTGGTTACTATGTTCAGGGCTGGCAACTGGTTGGATGTTGAATTAGTCAATCAAGGGAGGGCCTGTGCTAAAAAGAAGAACTGCAGATGCTGGGAATCAGAAACAAAAACTGAAATTGCTGGGAAAACTCAGCAAGTCTGGCAGCATTCGTGGAGAGAAAGTAGATTTAATGTTTTAGGTCCAGTGATCCTTGTTACGAACTGTGCTAATCAGCCAAATGCTGAATATTGATTGAAAAGAGAAAAACAGTTATGCCTGGGTTTGACAGGAGACAGCTGGACTTCTTTTGTTTTTTCTCTTTTTAGTTTCTCTTCAATTATCCAATTGTTGGAAGTGCTGAGAAAAGAATCCCAGTCTGTAAGAAATAAGTAAATATGTCGAAATCTGCTGAAACTGTTTGCATTAACTGGAGACTTTGGAATTTAAGCAAGATGTACAGTTTAACTCACTGGTGAATAATTCATTGTCCAAAGATTTCAAGGGTTGGTATTAATCATTGGAAACTGTTTAATGAACTGGCACGTTACAATTCTTTAATTTTCTTTTTAAATTTCTCTCAACTGTATCTGTCTGTTTGTCTGTGTGTGAATGATGGTTATGATTAAAGAAGATTGGGTTTTAGATCATAGATATTAATTAGATTGCCTTGTTTATCTGTGTTCTGATACAGTTACATTATTAAAAATAAATTGTTAATTTTTGTTAAGTTATAAACTTGGTGTCTAAGATTTGTTATTTTTAAAGTCTTGTTTTAGGAATAATTGGGCAGTTTTAATGGTGATTGAATATTTTAATTTCACTGTGCTGCAAATCCAGTGATAGTGCCACTGATTTAATTTAACCTACTGTTCCTGTGTTATAACACAGTGGACGCAGAACCTTTTAATATTTTTAAGGCAGAAATTGACCACCCTTGATTTATGAAGGGGGTAAAAGATTAGCAGAGGTGTGCAGGAATATTGAGTTGAAGTTAAAATCAGATCAGCAATGATCATATCGAATAGAGGAACTGGCTTGAAGACCTATAATGTTTGTAACACTGGCATCTAACCAATAATATTGGAAATTGTCCAGGTATTTTCTATGCACAGGAAGAGCGATAAATTTAGTACGACCAAACAACACCCTCTCAGGTCATTAGCAATGCATCGAGTGGGTCATCAACGGTGCTAACAAGTGCAAAGATATAGCCTACTCGCTGATACTCAGTTTGGTTTCTGTCAGGGCCACTCAGCTCTGGGCATCATTTCAGCCTTTGCCTAAATATGTTGGACAAAAGAGCTGAGCTTCAAAAGTGAGGGAAACGTGACTGTCCTTGACATCAAAGCCACATTTGAAAGAGTGTGGCATCAAATAACACTAGCAATAGGAGTTGGAGGTATCTCTTCATCAGTTGGAACATACCTAGCACAAAGGAAGATGTTTGTCGTCATTGGAGATCAATCATCTCTGCCCTGAGGACATTTTTGCACGGAGTTCCTCAATGGAGTGACTTCGGCCCAACTACCTGGACAATATCCACAGTTGGACTGATGTCTGGCATGAATGTGACTTGCTACTTCAGTGTCAGGCAATGTGACCAAATCCAGTAAGAGAGAATCTAACCATTGCCATTGAATTTCAAGGAGCATTCTCATCATTGAATTCCCCTCAATGAATAGCTCAGAGACTACCATTGTCCACATTGGACCATTCACATAAATTTGGTGGCTACAAAAGTAGATCAGAGGCTAGGAATTCTGCAGCAAGTAAGTCACCTCCTGACTCCCCTGTGCCCGTCCACCATTCACAAAACACAAGCCAGGAGTGCGAATGGCATATTCTCGACTTGCCCGGATGGGTGCAGCTCCAACAACATTCAAGAAGATTGACCCATCAGAACAAAGCAAACTGCTTGATTGGCACCACATCCATGACCTTCAACATCCACACCCTCAAAAAGTGATGCTCAGTAGCAGCAGTGGCTATCATCTACGAGATGCACTGCAGAAATTCATCCAGGTTCCTTCGACCACGCTTTTGAACCCATGACCTCCATCATCTAGAAGGATAAGGGCAGCAGATGCATGGAATAACATCAACTGTTTATTCCCCTCTAAGTCACTCACCTTGAGTATTGCTGAGTCAAAGTCCTGAAACTCTCTTCCTTACAGAACTATGGGTGTTCACACATGCCAGGACTGCAACATTTCTGGAAGGCAACACCATTGTATTCACCAAGATGTCAGGGATGGGCCAATAAATGCTGGCATAGCAGCAACACCCAATATCACTTGAATGAATAATTTAAAAAAATGATACTTTGGAGGAAATTCATTCTGCCCATCTTATTTCCCTTATTCAGAACAATAAGGAAGGAAAATAAACTGAGTGTGCTCCGAGATGATATCTGGTGACCTTCCTGAAAAACGTAGGTATTTAGCTGTGATGCACCCCACAATTAAATAGTCTAGCATTGCTCATTATTTAGGCACACATATGGCATATAGTTCACTTGTTGAGGTGTAGGTGCTAACTTAAAGTACTCTGTTTGATTGGCTGTGATTTGTAAACAGCAACAAGTGACAGGAGTAAGTCTTTAGGTTGGTGATTAATGTTTAACTTGGTGGATAGCCTGTTGATTAAGCCCTGGATGGTGCTGAGCTTCTTAAATCTTGGTGTAGCTATACTCATTAAGGTAAAGTGAAGTCTATCCAATTACACCTAGACTTAGGCCAGCAGGTGAAGAAAAGGTTTTGGAGAGTTAATTGCCACAGAAAACTCAACTTCTGACATGGAGCCACTGTACGTTTGAGACAAGTAGATAGGAGATTCTTATCAGTGGACATACTTGGGATTTTGGGCCATTCGGGGCTGATAATGCTCTTTGCTTACTCGGAATGTTAACTGGTGCTTTGTTTTGTCTCAGGGTTCTCGCATGATTGGACAACACTGCATCTGGGGTTCTTCATGGCTTCAGGCCCTCAAAATCTGCAAGTTGGCTCTGGGGTGTTACACTTTCCTCAGTTGCATTTGGTCACGTCCATTGCTGTTCTTCTGTTACTCATGCTGCTCATGATTCCCTGTGCTTACTGTAGGAGGTAGGATCATTGAATTCTTTTGGACGATAGGCCACATTATTAAATCTTGCAAAAACATCTTTTAAATGAGTAGATGTTCACATTTTTGGTAATGGAGGGAAAGATCAGGTATCATGATGCCACGTTTTGAAATAGCCTTCAATACTATATACTATCTCTACATAAAGATAGAAGTAGATTTAGGGAAATAATGGAATCCTAAATTTATTAAGCTCATCTTTTAGACTCACTTACGTAAAAATGCACACTTATAGGTAAAAGAAAGGAGTAATAATGACTGGTGTATATAATGCCATTCAGGTGCTTTAGATGTCTGCATTGTACAGCCCATTAAGTATTTTTGCCGTGCAAATACTATGATGTGGGAAATGGATGGGCAATTAGCACACAGCCATGTCTTACTGACCAGATGATCTGGTCTTTTCGGATGCATTCGTTTGGGGACAAATATTGACCCAACACACAAGGGAGAAATCCACTACTCTTCAAAATAGTGCCATGTGATCTTTTATGTCCACCTAAGAGAACAGTTTAGTCTGCCTGCTCAAGTGATGATGTCCAGCCCCTGTGGTAACCATTGGTTGCGTGAGGCCTGAAGTCAGCCAGTATTCATAATTGTAACAAATATCAAATCGCAAGTGAAATTTATAACATTTAAACTTTAAATTTAATCCTTGAGTGATTATTTGCTCTAACTCCTGCAGTGGCTACTGGCACTTTAAAAGAGCTCTCAGTCCATAAACAATAGTCATCACTGATATACCTTTATAATTAATTGACTATTAATATTAAAAGCTTAATATACCCTCAGTTTTGCACTGGAGTGACTGTCAAAATTTTGTGTCATTGGAAATCTCTGGACTGGAACTCAAACCTAGAACATCCTGCCTCAGAGGCAAGAGTGCTCCTGAATGTAGCATTTCCTACAGAGACCATCTCCCCTGCCTCAATGTATATGACCTGATCAAGGTGATGGCAGAAAGGAAATAAGCTGTAAATGGTTGAGTATTGAGAGGTGTGCAGAGACATTTCTTGTTCCTATTCGCATTGACCCACAAGAGGAGTTTGCTGTGTGGCAGAGATAGTAGGAACTGCAGATGCTGGAGAATCCGAGACAACAAGGTGCAGGGCTGGATGAACACAGCAGGCCAAGCAGCATCATAGGAGCAGAGAGGCTGACGTTTCGGGCCTAGACCCTTCATCAGAAAAGGGGGAGGGGAAGGGGGTT